TTCCAGGGATTGGCAAAGTTAAAATTATTTTTATAACAACCCTAAGACATCAGCTGCCTTTTTTCACTCCCACTCCCTCCTGAGTGTACAGCAGAGATTCCCAGAAGCTACGGTGACATGTGATATTACAACAGACTGAACATAGAAGCACATAACAGGATCCAGTTGTCCTCTATTTAACAAAACATTAAAGAGACACAAAAAATAAAACAATGTCACTCTTTTTTCCTCTTCTTTTGTTTTAAAATTTGTTTAAAATGTCTCTGTTTTAATATCTAATCCAGTAAATGTTAACAGATAAAACGTGCACAAAAAAAGCTCTTCGGAGTCCTCGACTTTTAAGTATAAAGGGGTCTGAAGACCAATAAATTTGAGAACACCTGATTCCTATTCAGTCAACTTCTGAGGTACTGGTTCTGTTCAATCGTCATTCCCGTAACACAAAGGAGGACACAAATGAGAAAAAGACATAGAAGTGACTTGCTCAAGATCACACCAGACACCAGACATCTCTTAAGTCAGCATTTGAATACAAGTTCTAACCTTAGCTCCTCACTACTGAGCAATTCAAGATAGTTCAAGATCACTTTTAGGTAGCTACAAGTTAATCCCTGTTTAAAAGGCAATGTTCTATCCTGGGTCTTTACTCTTTGACTTTCAGTCTTAAAAAGTGATGACTGCTCATTGGAGTGCTTTAACTATATAGAATTAACTTTTTTTTTTTAAATCAAACACTGCAAAAATAACCCCCATCACCACTAGCACCTTCCGCACTCTCTGAGAAAACTATTGATGAGAGTTTTTACTTATATACATACACGCATAAATATTTTTATCTACTAAGCACATTTTTAATTGATCACACTGATTTAGTAACCAGCCTTATTTCACTTAATGTATCTTGAAGATCTTCTTGCACCTACAAGTAGATTTACCTCTTTTTGTATAGATTACCATCATTCACTCCTACTCAATTGAGAAAAGTTCCCTTATGGCTTACTATTAAAAAACAGTCACAAGAAAGATGATCTGCCTTTGTATAGTTGTGAAGCCATATCTGTTTAAAAAAAAAAATCCTAGAAGTAAAATTCTGGGTCAAAGGGTATAAACGTTTACAATCTTATTAGATTTTGCCAAATGCCCTCCAACATGTCTGTGCCCAATTTACATTCTCACTAACACCACATAAGAGTTCCTCCAGCAACTGAGTTTTCGGGGGCCTTAGACAATTATGCTTATGTTGCTTCAAACTGCCTAGTAGTAAAACTGCTCTCACTGGTCATCTTAATTCCATACAGAATTCTACACAAATCTTATTAACACACACTGAGTGTATCAGTATAGTTTTCCACCTTTATTTTTCCTTACACCTTTTAAATACTTCAAAAGAGAAAATACACCAGGTGCATACAATATCTGCAACTAGTAAACCCTGATAAAAAGTTATTCAAATTATTTCAGAACACAAATCAGTAAAGCTGGGTCAAACACTTAAATCAAAGGAAAGTTATATATGTGGATTTATTAGGCTTTATCTGCCCACTCAAAGGACTAAGGCTACAAATAAAAAGCTATCCATTCATACCACTGGCCAAATTAGCTTACATAAAATAATAAGCAACAGATTTCATATCATAAATGTCAGTGGAACAGATTGTAATAGTAAGGATAGCTGTAATTGAAAAGAAAGTTCATTCAAATTCACATCATACTGTAAATGAAAACATTAATATTTTAAATGAAATGTTTTGAATGTAACTATTCATTTTAGTCATATCAGACTATTATAAATCTTTGGTACTAATAAACAAGATATGGTCTTTTTTTCCTAGTAGATGGTTTTAAAATGCATTATACGCTAACCTGCCTATTCTGTAACATCTAATGGATATTCTAGGCTTCACCATTTCAACAAAATTTTCTCTCTCTCTCTCTCTCTCTCTCTCTCTCTCTCTCTCTCTTTCTCTCTCTCTCTCTCTCTCTCTCTCTCTTTCTCTCTCTCTTTCTCTCTCTTGTTTAGAACTTTGAAATTTGTGTTAGTAGTTTTCAATTTAAAATCTCCAATACATCTTTGGGACAGAGTAAAAACTCATTCAATCAAGTTCAATTAGCTCAATCCTGAAATGGCATATGTAATTCTCATTAGGCAACAAGTTGATGATACTATAATTTCTTCCTCTACAAGTTCTCATAATATTACTGTGAAATAAAAGGAAATCAACCTGAAAATTAATTCACTTTTTCAAACCAAAGATTTATGAAACTAAGGAAGGACTCATCCATCTTTGTGGCTAAGGGATTCATCCTCAGTGCTAAGGTCCACTTCTGTTGATCTGCTACTGTGTACAGTGAAAGTGACTTAACTTCTTAATAGCCATCAGAGTTTAGAATATGTGCATTCCCTTGCAGTATTTTGTGACTAGGATTTTTTTCACAAAGCCATTTTTGCAGTTTCTCCCATTTCAACCCTCACACTTACAGATCTATAATATCACAAATATAGCACCTTAACAGGTAAAGAAGTTGACTTAGAAATGCCTGGCATTTTTATTCTGTGCCTATTCTTATCAGTTTGAAAGACATTACAGGCCAAAAAGATGAGTCCCAGGATTAAATGGCACGTTTGGTGTTAAATGAACTTACAACTATCCCCAATGAACAGAGAACCCTTCCCTCGCAATCTGAATCATGTGTAATTACAGTATGACAAGGTCTCTCCTGGGCTATGTAAGCTGGCATATTTCCCAGGACTTGTCACATCATGGGAAGCACACATACAAATAAAAACCCAAAAATAAACATTTTAAAACAATGGCTTATAGACGACATAAAGAAACTCCGCAGTCGAGGATAAAAACTAAAGAGCCCAATGGACAAGCTGACATCTCAGCAGAGACATTGGGAGGCACAGTGTTATGGAATGGCAACAGCTCCCAGGTGTGGGCTGTGAGGACAGCATCCTTCCATCCCCTCAAGCTGGACAGAAAACCATTAGGGATGGGGAATACTGGGGAACATCACCACACACGCACACACACACCCACAGAGGCAGAGAAAAGTGGTAAAATAGGGGGAAGATGATCATCTTTAATTTCATAATGCCCATTTGTAGAAGGTCAAGACACCTAAACAAAGTTATCTTAAGAGCAACATCCTTAAGAGCCAACTGACTTTGTTTCCCTGATTCAATACACATTGCTTTTTTTGTAGTTGTTGTTGTTAAATGTATTTCACCTCGAGCGAATAGCAGCCAAATGGTCCTAAGAGTGTGCACCAAGGATCTCAGAAGATGCTTTCTTTTGTTTAAATTCCTCTGCAGTGGCTCTGAGGGCACATGGAAAGGGGAGCGGGAGATTCCAAGAGGCATCACACCCAACCTCTTAGTGGGACAGAAACTTGACAATAACTCATTCTTATCCCAGTGTTGAGGAAATGTGAATATAATATCCCTAGTTATATCTTGGTAGAAAATGCCAGCAAAATCTAAATGCCTTTCCCTACAGGCCATGCATCTATTCCTCCCCATCTATTTATTAACCATCCAGCAGAGCCCTTCAAATCCAACCATTCAAGTTTTCAAAAGGAACCCTAAAACAGACCACCGAAGGCAAAACATGCATCCTACATCGCAGTGCACGAGCTCTGGAAACAAAAATAAGCATAAAGCACAAGCCTCTCCCACCTGCAAGGCGCACAGCATTCCTTTATCCCACCCCCAGGATGCTCAATAATGTCCACCTAGCTCCAAGCAGAATGGATTTATTACGATGTGACCCTAAGAGGCTACAGGAGTTCTAGATGCCAATAAAGATTACGGATCAAATGGAAGATAACTACTAACCATTGTGTCCACTTAGATAAATAAACCTGCTCAGAACAAAGCCCCGGATTGTATTTATATTGTTGCCTCCACTAATCCAACTAAAACAACCAGACAAGCTTTCCAGAGGCGGTGGGGGAACAGCAATCAGGATTTCAAAAAACTCTCTCCATTGCTTTTAAAAATAACACCCGGTTTCTGTTCTTCAAAACTGTCTTATCCTTTCTGGAAAAAAATGTTTGGGCACCGGAGGCTCAGCAGGATTATACAAACTAGAGACCAAGGCTAGTAAAAAACCAAGGTGGGGAAGGACTGAAAAAAAAAAAAAAAAAAACAGGACAAAACATCGTTCCTCTGAAACTTAAGGCTGAACCTGCTTCCCCTGCCAGATCACATCGGGGCAGACATTTCATTTCCGAAGGTTGCTCAAAATGCAATGAGCGAGCGGTTAAGCGCCATTGGGGACTATGGATGAGTAACCCCACCACCACCACCACCACCTAAACATAAAATTTTGACCGTGTGGGCTGGGGATGGCTAATCCACAAAAGGAAAAGTCCCTACAACTGGGTTCTCCATGCCTCTGCAGGGAGGAAGGCAGAGAAGACCCCCAAGAGAGGCGACTTCTCTCTCCAGAAGGAACAATAACTACATCCCATACATTCGCTGCCAATAGTGCAGGTAAGTCTCCATTTCTTTTTTCTTTTCTTTCTTTTCTTTTTTCTTTTTTTTTTTTTTTGGGGGGGGGGGTGAGGGAGGGAAGCTCACGCTCTTTATTCCCTCCAGCCCCACACCCCACCACTAATTGCACCTTTCCCACAGAAGCCGCCGCAGCTAGCCCCAGAGGACCGGGGAGGGCGGGCTGGGGATGAATAAACACTCGACACCTGACGGTGCTCTCTCTCCGGTGACTTTCCCGCAGCCCAAGCCGCCTGCACGGGCGGCCGGGAGCCTGGACCTCGCCAGCGCGGCGCCGCGCACTCGGGTCCCCGGGCTCCGCGGGGCGAGCGCGCCTGGGGATGGGGATGGGGATGGGGGGCAGGAGGGGGGGGGGAGGACCGGGGAGAGGGGAGGAGGGAGAGAGGGGGCCGCGGACCGCCGGGCGCAGCAGCGATTGTTCCCTCCTCCTCCGCCGGCAAAGACGTTTTTTATCCAGCTCCTTTTGTACTCGAGCCCTTACCTCTTTTCGGCCTGGGGAAGCTCTCGTGCAAGTGGAAGACGACTTTCTCCACGAAGTGCTGGATGTTGCTGTGCTCCGGGCCGCGCACGAACACCATCCAGTCGTGGGTGAAGCCCTCCACGGTGGGTTTCTTCCGCACCTGGGCGCGGTGCCCCAGCTCCAGCTTCACCTGCACGGCACACTGCGGGCGGCGGGGGAGAGGCGGCCGTGAGCCACAGCAGGGCGACCCGTCCGACCCTGCCCATCGCGCCGCCTGACATTATTTTTATTCTTTTTTTATCCTCCTTGAAACGCACATAAAAGGCCACGGCGGTGCCCTCTGCATCCACGTTCCACGCGCGTGGGCGCGCACACTCCACACACACACACACACCCAAAGACACCCCACCAGCCCGGCCCGGGGCCCCCCACTTGGAGCCCCGGGCCCAGCATCCACACCGGCCCGGATTGTAACGGAATGTTAGCCCCATTGGGAAGGGGGTCCGGGGGTCCGGGAGAAAAAGAGGGAAAGCACGCTCAGCCACTACCACCAAGCGCGACCACAAATGCATCGGAAACAAACGAGAAGACTCCTCGGAGCCGGTGCCGCCGGGGCGGGCGGGCGGGCGGCTTCCCGGAGTGGGAGGGGAGGCAGCCGGGACCCCGAAGGGGGTTCGGGCGAGCCCCCTGCCTGGAAGTCCCCCGGCGACAGGCACACGCCGAGCGAGTCTTTGTGTGTCCGCGTGTGTGTGTGTGTGTGTGTGCGTGCGTGTGCAGCGCGGTGCCAGGCTGCATGGAAACTACGGGCAGCCGCCGCCGATGGGCACCGACTCCCGTGCTCCTGACCCCGGGGTTCGTGCACAACAAACAACAAAAAAATGAGAGACCCCGGTCACACAGACACACAGACATAGACCCACGCCCGCGGGGACACGCCGAGGCGGCATCCATAACTTAAGGCGCACACCCCGCACCCTCCGGCGAGAAGCCCCCCATGCGATCGGCGAGGCCATCCTCGCGGAGCCCCCCGCAACACACTTCCAAGAGCCAAAGTGGCCCCAAAGTACCTCCCACCTTCCCCCTCACACCCCCCCCCCAAAAAAACGAAATTCGGAAAGGCAAGGGCGGCGGGCGGACAGCCGCGGAGCCCGGGCGGCGCGCAGCCCCTCGCGGGGGCCAAGTTGGGGCCCCGCCGCTGTCAGCCCGCAGCCGCCGCGCCCGCACGCGCCGCGGACAACGCACCATCGTGGCGGCCGCCCCGGCTGCCCGCCGCGTCCCGGACCGTGCCCGCCCGCGGCTCCCGGCGGCTCCGGCGGCGGCGGCTGGAATATGGCTGAGTTATTATTCGCCTCCTTCCACCGAGTGTGTGTGTGTGTGTGTGTGTGTGTGTGGGCGCGCGTGTGAGCGAGAGTGCGCTTCTTGCGATTGCAAAGAGAGGCGAGGAGGGAGGAGGCGCGGGGGGGGGGGGGGAGAGGGAGAGAGAGAGAGAGAGAGAGAGAGAGAGAGAGAGAGAGAGAGAGAGAGAGAATGTGCGCGCGCGCGCGCGCCGTGGGGGGGGGGTGGAGGGAGGGGAGCCGAGGCTGAGGGAGAGGCGGCAGCTCCCTGCAAACCGTACCCACATTTTCTAATTGAAACCGCTGAGCGCTGGCGCTGGCTTTGGCGGCGCAGGGCGAGGGAGGGAAGGCGGGGGAGTGGGTGGGGGATCTTTGATGATTATTATTATTAATTATTATTATATTTATTTTTGCATGTACTTACCGAGCTAGCCATGCCTGGGGGCTCGGAGGTGTGCTGGGGTGCTGTGAGGTCCCCCCTCCCCGCCCCCCCCACCTCAGCTGTAATTCATGAAGAGGCTGCTATGCATGAGAGCGCGCCCGGGAGCAGAGGGTAGATGGCGGGCATGCTCTGCCTTTTTTCCCCCTCCTGCGTTCGCTCTCTCTCGCTCGCTCGCTCGCTCGCCGGGTTATTAAACTCAGCCCCAAAAGCAAAAGCAGCAGCGGCGGCGGCGGCGGCGGCGGCAGCAGCAGCAGCTCCGGGGCCGGAGGAGGAGATTCCGGAGCATGCGCCGTGGCGCCTGGCACCCGGGCGCCCGGCCTCTGCTGGCGGAGGGGGGCGGAGCGCTCGGGGAGGCCGAGCGGGCGGCCAGGGGGAGCTCGAAGGAGCCAATCGCCGGCCGACGGCCGCCGCCAGGAGGCGGGCCGGGCCGCGCCGGAACGCCCCGCTTAAAGTAACAGGTTCCTGCTTGGGGGGGGGGGGGGGAGGAACAGGGGGGCGGGGCGGGGAGGGAGTGGGCGTTGGAGCGGGGAAGAGAGGCCAGCTGGGAAGCCACCCCTGCCCGTGTGTACACTCGCGTCGCCCCACAATAAAAAACGGATTAACACTGCTGGAATGTAGCCACTGCCCACAGCCCCCAGCAGCCGGAGAAGGGGTGTTAGATGGAGTGTTTGGCGTTAGCAAGCACGCTGGAGAGGAGAGGGAGGGCGGGAGGGGCTTTCTTTTACTTTCCACCACCACGTCTTTTGGGGGTGTTGTGCTGACAAGGCAAGAACGCTCACCCCAACAAACTTATTTCAAGGCTGAGCCAGAGAGAAACATACCATCCTACAAAGAAGCATGGAATGGAAGCGATCGCTGGGACTGTTATAACCGGCAACAAGCCCCTTGGCCCCCTGGCTCCCTGGCCCCCCTGGCCCATCCACACATACAGGCGCAGGGAGCCCCGTCCTCCCCGCGCTCCCCACCCATCTGCCACCGCCCCCGCCCCTGAAACCAGAAAGATGAAATGAAGCAGAAAGAAAGGAGAATGCTGTTTCCTTCCCAGGGAACGCCTCCAGGCGGCGGGGAAGCAGCCAGAGCAGCGCCCAGGTGAAGGCGGACTACCTGGGAGCGCCGGGCGCAGACCCTCCGGGAGGACGCTTGGCGTGGCTTCCTCCGGGATGCTTTCCCTCCTCTCAGCCGGCCGGGGTGCATCAGAACGCGGAGGGTCGTCCTCGGAGAAAGAGCGAGGGGCAACAACGGAGAGTCTTAAACTATCAGATAAAAGTGTACCCTGACGGTGGTGTGCATGAATGGGATGCTGATCTTTAGGCGTATGGGTGACAGCCAACGTAATCCCATCTCTGCGTTATTCATCCCGTTAGGTTCCCCGAGTGACAACCAGTCGCGGAAGTGCTCCCGGGGGGCGCGCGCCCGCAACGTTCCCGCTCGGGGGGAGTCTGGCCTCGGGGGCCGGGGATGGAACGGCTCCGCCGGCCACGCGTGGGGCGGGGAGAGGAACACGGACCCGCTTCCTCCAGCGACGCACACAACCTTTGCAGAGGAAGCGGATAAGATCTAGACAATTGATCTGAAAGTGAAAGACGGGTGTGACTTGGGTTCCTTAAATAAAGATCTTTGCATCTCCCTGAGTTGCTTTTCTGCCGCCTTGATCTTTTTTCTCTCCCCCCGCCCCCTTTTTCCCCCTTCTCGCTTTCCAGCTTCTTTTCTAGAATCTTTCCTTTGGCTTCATACGCTTTTGCCCAACCGTCGCGCTTTTACTTGCTTCTTTGCTTCTTTCTGGCTCAACTTTTCTTGCTTTCTTTTCATTTTTTTTTTCTTTCATAAATACCACCACAAAAGCAAAGTCGTCTTGGCCCTTGGGTTCAAGAGAGGGGTGTGTAACGGGAAGAAGGGTACCTGGAGGATCCGGGGTCTTATTTGTTCATTTTCAGTTCTTCCAGCTGCTCACACGCGCGCGCGCGTACACACACACACACACACACACACACACACACACACACACAAATAACCCGAATCAGATCCTCCACTTACAACCAAGAAAACTTATCTGGCTTAAGGACCCCCACCTTCCCATCTCTCTGTTGAAATGTAGCACAGAGTGGAGAGATCGACGGAGGGAGAAGCGTTTTAATCCAAGGGCTTAGATTTCTCATCTGACCTACATATGTACTTGATGCATATCATGTACCTGTAGGTGTGTCTGCGCATGTATAGGAGGACTGCGTTTATATACACGTAGGCAAGCTGGGTGTTAGGACCAACAGGAAGGGTGGACCTACTTGCTAAGCACTACTACATTTAAAAAAATAAATAAATAAAATAATCACATTGGAAAGAAGCCCCTTTGGTATAATAAGATTGGAAACTAATGGCTGTCTGGATGTGCCATTAGTAAAGCCATTTTTTACAAGGTGGCAAGCATAGGCAGCCAAGGGTAGCTCACCACACAGGTGAAAAACAACAATCCTGTTTTTAACTTCAGGGTTTGACTAACTTCTCTTGAAACTTTCTCTTATGACTTGTACTCACGCTGAGAAACTGATGTCTCCTTTTTGCATTTTGTGTTTGCTGAAATTTATTCCAGCAGCCACCAATAAGTCAGAGAGTCAGAGAGAGTCTTTTCCCATTGGCCCCTCCTTTCTAGAAGAATGCTTTAAAAACCCGAATGTAGAGGTAATTCTCATTATCCCCACCCAGAAGATATAGATTCCGTCGGTAGATGGCGCACAGAGCCCTTCCAGCAACGTCCTTACGTGACCTCTTTTAGAACAAAAAAGACCAGGAGTGAGGGGAGGAGAAAAAAATATACATAATCCTGAATACCCTAGAATAGATTCAACTTTTGGGTAAATTTATGCCAGTCTGTCAAGTTATTGTTATATCATTATAACAAGCTGACTATTAATTTTAAAACAATTAGAAGAGAATAATAACAGATTAATTTGATGTGGAGCATATCTGAAGATGTTTGCACTTTAAAATGCGGTACAAATGTGAAACAACCTTTTGAGTACTTGACAATGTAATTGTCAATACTATTTTTGCAAATAAATTTTAAGGCAAACCTCTTCCATACTAAATATCAGAAATATTAAACATGGGCCAAAACTGGTTTGGCTCAATGGATAGAGCGTCGGCTTGGGGACTGAAGGGTCCAAGGTTCGATTCCAGTCAAGGGCATGTATGTGCTTTGGTTGCGGGCATATCCCAAATAGGGGATGTGCAAGAGGCAGCTGATCGATGACTCTCTCTCATCTATGTTTCTAACTGTCTATCTCTCTCCCTTCCTCTCTGTATAAAATCAATAAAATATATTTTTTAAAAAAGAAATATTAAACATGGAAGTGATGAGAGAGAAAACCATCTATATATCCAAAAAGGCAATTATCTTACCAAAATGCTGACTGTAGGACTTAGCACAGTATGAAGCACCATAGGGCTAGTTTTGAGGAACAGAAAACAAAAGCAATTGACCTTGTTATATCAAATAAAATGTTTGATGGAGAGTAAAAGAGGACAATATCTGGGACAGAGCTTAACTCCTGATCACTACCATCACCATCACCCTCATTTGGGCTCCAGGCGTTTTATTTGCAATCCTCTTGTTTAGTTTGGACGTTGAGAGAAGTTCGGATGTTTCTAGCACAAAATAATGCCTTCAAAGAGTAACTATGGTGTAAAGAAGCAACTTTTTTTTCCTTATTAAAATTTTATCTATTTGCTGTGATAGATTACTGATGTATGAACTCAAATAATCAAATCAGTAAAAATAAATAAATAAATAAATAAATAAATAAATAAATAATAACCCTTGCTCGCACTTTGCTGTATGGATTTGAAGGAAAAGAAAGAAGATGCATGGGGCGGTGGGGGGAGGATAATGGGACAGACACTAACCAGATATCTTGCAAACATTAGACTTAGAATAATCAATGGTACACTTTTTCTGTGTACTTCACTCATGTGTTCATTCATGTGCCAGGCACAGAGTCAGGCTGTAAGAATATGAGAAGGGCAGGGTTCCTGCCCCCACAGTCCAGAGAAGTTTCACCAAAACCGTTTCTTCGTAATTTTATAATGCTTAAGTTTGGGATGAAGATCTGTGCCACACAGAAGCAAACAGCAAGCACATTTGACATGAACACCCCAAGGACAAGATTAGAAACTAGTAGTCATTGCCCTCAAATTCTACCTATTGGTAGTTCAAAGTAAGGTGGGAAGGAGGTGGTCTCTTTTATGCAACAGCAGCCAAGTCCTAATTTCCTTTCTTTGATCTTGAAATGTTTTCTCTGTTCACCTTATTGCAGCTCTTTTAAGAAAAAAAAAATATGACAATGAAAGAAAGCTAAGGTTTTCAACATCATCAATATATTTTCTTAGTTGAGACAGTCTGTTTCCTAATTTTTAGATTCAAAATGTTACATTTTTAACATTATGTTTAATTCATGATTCCGGGATAGTGTATTAGGAACACCAGAATATTATAGTACAAATCATTTGAAAAAGCAATTGTTTTGATAACCACATCAGGTCTTAGCCGAGGACTATTTCCAGAGGTAAGAAATACACAAAGCTTTTTTAAATACCAGAGCCTCTTCACGTGTAAATTATTCCCTATGGGTAATTTAAGCAATGCACTTATACATTCAGAAAACAAGAGTGCCTCTGCACTTATTAATTTAGTGGGCTGTATCTCTAATGTAATGAATAGCGCTAAAGGCCTTAAAATTAATCAAGGATATTTTTGTAAGACCAACAATATAAGGCAAAATAAGTATTGGAGAAAAGTTGATATAATATGATTGAAAAGGTCTTCCTAATATATATGAGAATACTAGTCAAATATTTATTTATAGATAAAATACATACAGGGTGTCCCTCCAATAATGTATACACACACTTTAAATAATTACAAAGGCAGTGTTTATTCAAATACATTACATTTTCAAGATTGAGTTATTAGCTGTTAAAGTATGTGTACATTTTGGGAC